AAAAGATATGGATTAATCTAGAAAGTAGGCCAGGGTGTCAAATGATTCTACTCCACTGATGTGGAAGTGAGGCTTTTCCTAAGGGTTACTGCCTATTTCTATGATCTTTCCAATACAAGTCTCCTTCTTTTTTGGATCTGAGGTACACAGACTTACTTTATTTTTTTTGGTATGCTTTTTCATGAAGGACATTCAAGTGCCAATGAAACCTCTGCTAAAGATAAACAACAACAACGACGAAAACCCTCTAGACTTAGGCTTATGAATTTACTGGATAAAAGTGCTCTGCTCAGAATAACCTAGTCAGAAAGAACCATCTCTGAAGCTAAATCTGGGAATGCAGTCACTACAAGCAGCAGTCAGGTGGAGAGAAGTACGCAGCTCCCTAAGCTTGAAAAGAAATCTAGAACATCCTTTCTGAATTCTATGTAGCTCTACAAGATTCTTGGCTACCTTTACCTCCATATAATTTTTTTCATACATATTTCCTACAACAGCAGTTTCCAATGTTTTGTTTTAATCTGATTTTATGTGTGTAAAAATTTAGGGGTGGAGAGACCACTGTGAAGTAAGGTTATCTATTATGTCCTCCAACCTATACCGTTAGTGGGGACCAAGTCCCAACACCTCCAACCCCCTTTTAGAAGAGCTGAAACCCACAAATTAAAGTCAAGCTCAGAAGAGAAGTAGAAAAATAATTATTTCTCAAATCAAGAGTTTGAGAGTCATGGGACCTTGGAGTTCAAAAGGAAAGAATCTAAACCAACAGTCTCATTTTACAAATAACTAAAATGACCCAGGAAAATAGTCTATCAACCTACGATTAGCTAAATGGCCATAATATTTTGTTTACTTCAAAAACTACAGCATAGGCAGTACACCTAAAAATATGTTCTTCTCCTGCAGAAATGATTTTTAAGTATAAAAACAACAAAGTTTCCTGTAAAAATTCATCTTATATAATACAGGATTATAACTAAATCAATGTAAGTACAGATATGGTTGAGAGCAGGAATTGTAACTGTTTTTAAGGTGATCCATACCCAAAGAAGTTTCAAAACAGATGACCAAATGCATTAAAGTTACTTTTTACTTTATTTAATGTCTAACATTTATTGAGTACTTACTAGACATCAGGCACTATATAAAGTGTTTTCAATATATCATGGCATTTACAGGAATTAAAATGAAAGCTTAAAATGAATAGCTTAAATAATGATAGTTACATACTATAAAAAGTAACGAAGTCCTATTAAAATCAGGATTCAGAAACTTAAGGCAAATAAAGTTCTACAAAATGTAAGAGTAAAACAAATTCCCAACTCCACCTTCCTAAACAACCAGGAGCTTCTTTGTTTCTGTAAACAAAACATCTTCACTATCTCCAGGTGATTAAGTCAAGAGATACAGTCCAGACTTCAGGAAATCTGACATTTTTCTCCCACACACACAACTTCTGTAAGTTCAAGAACAGGTAAGTACAAATATACTGGTAGAAAATGTAACAATACAATAACAGAAAACATGTTGCCATCCTGCCAACACCTCCACTTCTGAATATTCCAGGAATGCTATTGCACAATATAAAACCAACAATGTCCTTCTCTCCAATTTTTTGCACAGTATTATGACATACTTGTAATTAAAATATACTTCTTGGTAAAGTAAAAACTTGAGGATGAAAAGAAGGTATCAAAATAGAAGATAAAGGTACTAGCATTATCCTGTGGCTTGATGTTTACAGAAATTTTTTAGGAAATAATTCTGTAACACCACACCCTTCCTCGGAGCTGGAGAAGTTGCTGTGTGATAGTAAAACTATCCAACAATGGAGAGGGAGTTATACTTTCATACAATTTCAAATGGAAATTCTATGTTATAAATCTATATAACCATAAGTATGTTTATAATATCCCTTATAGACATTTAACACCTTTCAAATGTCCTTTCCGGGCATAATAGAAACTTCAATTTGTTACTGTTTCTTACAATCAGAATAGGCAAGTTTATGGTTAAATTCATATATTCTTTTTCAATTCTTTCACTGGTACCTTATCGAAAAAGATGTTTAAATGTTTATTTTGGAAACATGTTTACTACACTGGGACTTTTTGTTAAGAGTTTGGCAACATCAGCTCAAAAGGCTTTTTTTCCAAAGTAATTAATTTTTAGACAATGTAAGATAGTCTGTCACCAAATGCCAAAAATTCAGTAAGTAGCTCCCTCTCCCAGGAAAAACTGAATTTCTCTTTAAACTGTAAAATACACACTTATACCCTTACAAAAACATTTTTAAAAATACATGAACCAAAATATACATACAAATAGCCAAATCTGGTGAGTTTTTCTATTATCAATTAATATTCCAAAACTAACATAAACAGCTATTAACAGTTTTATGGAAACCAGTATAAATTTTTAAATTGCATACATTTGCCTAGATAACAAAAAGCAATTAACATCATGATTTCACTTAATGCACAACAATCTCTGTACTTCATCACAGAATTTTGAGATTCATTTTAGTGGTTTTATACCATCGACACACCTCAAGTAATAACTGTCCACATTTCTTAAGTCACTAGTTTTTACCAAAGATGAAGTGGTTCTGTAAAGAAAGTAACAGCTCTACAAAGATGGCTTATTTAAAAATAGAGTCTTCTTATTCTACCTTCTTGTTAATTAAGTTAAAGAATAACAATATAACTGATAATAAAGAGTACACTTTATATTTCACAGAGTATGTACAGAACTGGGTTGCATAAATTAAAAATGCATTTACAAATGCCAGTCAACAACGCTGATAGATATATTTCTTCACATACTAAAAACTCTCCTACCTACAACCCATCTATGGATACCCCCTCGTTCAGAGCAATTGTATCACTAAGTTTAAACTACAAGAATATAACTGATTTTTAAAAAGAGTTGTTTACCATTAAAGATGAAAATAGAAAAAGAAACAGTTATTTTGAGGGGAGAGTTGATCAGAAAACAAGATATAAGCACCTGGCTATCTCAACTGTGAAGTAAATTGAATATTCCAAGACAACTTCAAACTTTGAAAAATAGAAAACCTTCCCAAATAAAGCAGGTTTACCTTAGTGTAAATCAAATACCAAAGTTTTTCATATTCAAATGCCATATGTTTAGAAAGAACTACATACATAACTCATGATGTTCTTAAAATATTAGTTTTAATATTAAATGTTTCTTATACCTCAATACTGAGTTATTACCTGATTAAAATCTTTCCAATAGTCAGCCACTATTATAAAGTACAGAAAACATGTATTTACTGTTACTATAGATCCTTACTAAATTTATGAATCCCAGCAAATTTGAGAGGCTAATCTACACAGCATACTACAATACTTAAGTTTTCTCCATGGACCACCTTGCTAACATAACCATCTATTTCTCAAAGAAAAAAATGCAGCTTAAATTGTTTAAAAAATTGTCAAGTGTACATATCATAAATACAGCCTTAAACTTTTGCAGCTGACTAGTTTTAAAACTACCAAATAAATTTCTTCAATGGACATTTAACCATTTCACTGTTAAAAAGAGCAGGGTTTTAATATACAATAATGTACTTTGTATCTGACCTACCACATACTACATTCTAGCACACCTTCAAACTTACCAAGATCTACACTAAAAGTTTTGTTTAAGGCTAAATATTTATATTGTGTTAAAATTATTTGGCTGAACTATTCAAACGAAACTGGTTTCTCTCAGCTAAGCTGGTATCGGAGCTTGAGAAAAGAAAACAACATAAATGAACATGGCACACTACTAATTTATTCAACCCTGTACAAACTCTCCAGCCATCAGTGACATTCTTAACATTGCAGAAAAAGCATAAATTATATCAAAATTACTTGTGATTGATTTTAAATAGTGTTTTTCCCCTTGTACTGAAAATACAACAAAAAATCTGGTATGGAAAAAGAGCAAGTAACTTTCCCTGCGGTTAGCAGGAGGGATCACACCCCCACAGTTGTAATCACTGTCCAAGGACATCGCGCTAAAGCCGGGTGGGAGTGTGTAGAAACTCAGTAACTACTCCAAAGGTGAACAGAGATTTTTGTTTTGGGTTGTTTTTTTTTAAGTTTTGTTTGCTTTTTGGCTGTCACCAGTAAAAAGAACTCAAACTACTCCCCTAAAAGGTATGTTTGTTTTCAAAAGAAAGAGAGTGCCAGTAATTCAACTAAAGGAAAGGTGAAAACTTCCTTCCCATTTCTAGCCCTGGCATAATATTTCAGGTTTTTTCTGCAGCCAAATACCAGACGACTAGGGCAGGTCACAGGAGCAGGATGAAAATGTCCGTCTTGGCTTTAACCTTTTTGGCCGCCAAGTGGAACCGAGCCTTAACTTGTCCCTCCCCTTAAATCCCACCCAAAGCAAAGATTATTATTAACCCCGCCCCGACCACCGGCCCCCTTAGCTTCCCCAGCTTGCCCCCAGATTAGCTCTTCCAAGGATCTGCCAGGTAAATGAGCTGAATAAGACAAAGACCAACTGTGGGACTGAAGTTACCCTAGCAATGCATGTTACTAAAGGGGAGAGCAAACGCAGTAAAGAAACACTTGAAAAGAACTAAAAGATGTCCAAGGACTCGTGAACAGACTGCGCCGTGGAAATGCAACCCTGGGAGGATAAAAGCAGAAAGGCAAGGAGGAGAACAGAAGAAAACTCGTAGGAAAGACATTTTGGAAGCATACCAGACGCGCTCCCTCTGGCGTTGAAGGATCCACTATCAAGTCCTTGACGCGACGCGTCTAGGTGACAGGAACGGATTGCACCCTCCGGGTCGCCCTCCGCAATCCCATACAGCGCCCAGGGGACCCCAGCGCCGGCCCTTTCCCACACCTGCAACCTGGCCCAAGTGGGCCGGGTCTAAACTGGGGAAGGAGCGCCTGAGGAGCCGCCTCTCCCGGCTCCCGCTCCCAGGGCGGCCCCTCCCGCAGGCCGCCCGGCCCGGATTCGGTACCTACCTGTAGCACCAGCGGCTCGGGGTTGAAGGCCAGGGTCAGCAGCAGCTGCATGCGCTCCGAGTCCTTAAGATTGCGGAGCAGAAAGCTGCCCGAGTCCTTGGTCTCGGCGTAGCGGCGTACCAGACGGTCGAGCAGGCGCTGCGAGGGGCAGTGCACCAGGTCCGACCAGCCCTCCACTGCTTCTGGCGTGAGCAGCCGCACGTCGCCGTTAAGGCGCGCGAACTCGGTGCGAGGCATGGCCTGGAGCAGGTCACAGCGCGGCCGGCCGGTGGCCCGCTTACAGATGCTCTGGTCGAGCTGCGCCAGCTCGCGCTGCGAGCCCAGGCGCTTGAGCACCACGCGCCGGCGGCCGCCCTCGCGGGGCTCGCCGTACTGCGCGAAATAGACGTTCTTCACGTTAAGAAAGTCCAGCAGGCGCAGGCGGCCCCACGCCTCGAACACCACCTGCCCGTTGAGAAAGCGGCGGCACCAGCTCGTACCAAAGCACGCCGGGCACTTATTGAGCTGCAGGAAGCGCCGGTCGGCCAGCTCGTTGCGCTGCCAGGAGGCGAGCAGCGACGGCGAGTGCAGCACCATCAGCACCAACAGGCTGCCCAGTGCCGCCAGTTTCAGCGAGCGGGACAGGCGGCCCAGCTTAGGGGGCACCAGGCGCCACATCCCGCCCGCTGCCCGTCTGCACCCGGAGGGCGAGGGCACCCCCGGGGCGCCCCCGCCGCGCCGAAACCCGGAGAGCTACCCGCAGAGGCCCCGGACGGGAGAAGGACCAAGGGCGAGGGCTGGGGTACGAGGCGGAGTAGATGTGTAAGCCAGACCGAGAGCGGGAAGGAGCAGACCGAAGCAGACTGCGACTTCTTCCAGTCACTAGCCTCCACAACTCTCAAGCTCCCTCCTCTAAGCTCCCCGCCCTCCGACTCCCGCGGCGCCTCTTCGGAGCCAGCCAAGTTATAGATGAGCGAGAGGGGGAGGGCGCGCGGGGACACGAAAGCCGCGGGCGCGCAAGCGCACTGCACGCTCGGGGCGTGAGAGCTGCGGAGGCGGCAGCCCGCGGCGCGCGCCGGGTCCCAAGGAGAAGAAAGGAGGGACTCACGGCAGGGGAAGAGGAGCTGCAGAGTCTCACCCAGAAAAGTAGCAACAATAATGGGAGGTAGGATGGATGAGGCGACCACGCGCGCCTACCGCCGAACGCTCCAGTTCGTTAGCGCTGGCTTTCCAGAGTGGGGCGGGAGCCGGGGGCGGGGCAAGCGGGGCGGACGAGCGCGTCGCGCGCCGCCCGTAAAGCGTAAGCGCGGACTCGCGGGGGTGGCTTTGGGGGCGTCTCCGTGGGGGCGGAGCTCGAGCTTTGAAGTGGGGATAAACTCGCGAGCTCTAGTGGTGACAGGAGTTTAAATAATAGTCTTTTAGAACTGTTAAGGTTTGCTGGAGCCTGACTTTTCCCATAATGGAAACTGTCCTCAGAAGGAGGCAAAAAGAAATGAATTGCGGAAACCTACTGGAACCCCCTTCTCTCCGCTGGCGCGCGTTGGGCGAGGCGGGGTGGGCGGGACGTCTTTCCCCTCCCCGGCCTTCTGTGTTTGGGGCGCGCGCTTGGGGCAGGGTAGGGGGCGGTGAGTCAAGGGGGAGCTCGCATTCCCGGGCCCGCGTGCCTCTGCGTGGGGGACTGGCCTCCGGAGAAAACGTGAAATGCTTCAATTGTAGAGTTGGTTGGGGACTTCGTCTTTGGATGCATCTTAAATGTTCCAAAGTGAACGCGGAAAAGTCGAAGTCTCCGAAACATCGTGTTAAAGGGACATTAGGATCACCGGGGAACCGACGTGGCCTGGTGTCTACCGGAGTCCTGCCCCAATGCTGCAGAGAAGCGGGGATGAGTTGTTGGCAGGTTTGCTTTGCTCCCCGCCTGTTTTCCCAGACTGGCGCAGAAGCCGTTTCTTACTACCCGTGGGGACAGTCCCTGCGCCGCCCCTAGGGTTCCCTGAGAGTTTAGCGGGCTCCACAGGCCCGCAGGAGCTGTGGCGGTAACCAGGGGGAATGGGAGCCGCCTGGTGTTCCACAAGGGCAAGTTGGCCCAGCGCCTTGTTTTGGTATAAATTTTAGAGGACCCGGGCTTTTTAGCAGTAGCTGCGAATACATAATTATAATGCTATTTAGTTTTAGCGCTAGAATATAAAGAGTTAAAGTCATTTCACTCCTCAGTTAAATGAGGGGCAGTTGTTAGTCTGACGGATAGATGATTCCTGATACAGTATTAAATACCTGGGTCTTAACTGAGTTAATTTTAGAGATGGAACAGTGATTTTTAGGAGACTCTAGTAATGGCACGTATATATAGACCAACTCTACAGAGTCTTAATGACAGACAACAGTATTGCATTATCAAATTAACTTTTCTCCACAGTCATTTGATTGCAAAAGAGCCATCCTCTTGAAAAGTACTGTTGAAGTTAATGCCCTTCCTGATAGAAGAATTCATACTTTGAGAAAAACCTTTGGACAAATTAACATATAGGATAGAAATGATTTTTAAATGCTATTGCATTAAATAAGACAAATCTGAAAATTTAGTCTTCAAGCCTAGTGCAAAGTGACTAAAGAAACTTTGCTGCTACAATTAAGTATTTTCTGCCGCCTTTGGGAGTAATTTGGTTTAACTTGCCTTCAATCATCCTAAAACTCCATACATTGTAAAGTTATGAGAAGAATCTCAAATGTGGATTTCATAAGAACAGAGTTTGGTGTGATTGGTCTATAGATGTCAGTGCTGCAGCTGTTGCTGCTGAAGCTGAAATGTTGACAAGTTATTGCTAAACTGCAAATTTCTTCTCTCTAGCATCTTTTGTACCTGTCCTGTAGATGTGTGCAATTAATATGAGATAATTTATGTAGAATTGCTTTAAAACAATAAAAGCACTACATACATTTCTATATTTATAGTTAGAGTGATTGATTCATTTAGCATACTTGCAGGTAAACTGATTAAGCTGAGATCATTGGAGCGTAGTGACAGACTAGGTGACTAGTAACAGGATTAAGGGGTATCATTTCTATGTATGGAAAACGTCTTTGGACTTTTTAACTCTCAGCCCCCAAATCCTTGGATTATGTAGGCATCATTTGAATAGTGGAAGTAAAAATGGTTACTAGTATACATACAAGGTGAGTTTTGAAAAACATTTGCTTTTTATCTGAATATTTTACATTTGTTTAAAACTAAGGTTATCCTATTCAGTTATGCTTTCTAGACTTTCATCAAGAAAGATAGTATACAAGAACTTAATACATTTCTCAAGGAAAAAAAGGGCTTAGAACTATATGAGGTAAATTCAAATTATTTTAAAGTACTTTATTAGGGTTTGGAAAAAGATCAGTAAGTTAATATTAATGTACAGTATCCACCTATCCTATAAACTATGGAATGCTTATGGCAGTTGGCTAATAGATTATGAGCTTACATCCAACATTCTTCCTCAAGTTTAAATAATGGCAAATGTGGGGACAACTTTCCCCACAAAGTACCCCCCCCATCTGCCACAGATGAAAGTGAAACTACCAAGACATGATCTGCTTGGGGAGGAGAGGTGACCAATCTCTCAGAGGAGAAAGACCAAGAACCTCTTCTTCAACAGCTTTTATTAGGTTGTAATCCACAGGAATACAGGTAAAGCTCATCAGTCGATGTCAGGCAGCAAGGATCAAACAATAGATAACATTTCAAAGAAATCCGAGGGCTTAGTCTGAGTCAGTGTCTGTCTGGTAAGGGGGTTGCAGAAACTTTGGGAGACATACTTATTTCCTGTTCAGACCCTTATCATATGAATGAAAGCACTCTTAGCAAAGCTGGCTTCACAGGACTTTAGGAATTCTTTCTTATGCCCAATCACCCTGGATCCCACTCTAGTTGGAAAGGGGCTGCACCACCTCCCCCATCACAGGTTTTAGGCTTAAGTGGATTAGAGCCAGGAAGCGCTTCTCCCAGATGGAAATGGGGACTCAGGCTATGTCAGAATAGCTGGCCAGATGAGGGTCCATCACTCCCTCTTCATTGCAGCCCCCTGAGTCCTTCCATGATGGCCTCCCAAGTGATTGTGTCTGGCTTAGGTTGCCCCCACTCTGAGGGGTCATACCTGTCTTTGACTAACTGACCAGGCACTGGGGGCAGGGGAAGAAGCAGAAGCAGCTAGCTTCCCAAGACAAGGTTTGTCTCCTTAGTGGCTTGTGTTCTGGAGGTTGCTCACTCAGCCTTAGCCATGGGGATCAGTTACAACTCCTGAAACCAAGCAGGGGAGAATAGTTCCCAACAGGCAAATAACTTAATTTCCAGTGCATTGTAAAATGCCACTTTATATCTATAATTTTAAATGTAGCAACTGAATTAAATATAGTATTTTGATACTATATATCTGGGTTTTTTTTTTTTAAGTGAACTGGCTCTTTGATGGTCAAAGTTTCGCATTGTATTGCTATTCTATCCCCTATAGCCATGGTTCTCATTTAGAGTCTATTGCCTCCTGGCTGACATTTGGTGATATCTGGAGAAATTTTGATCATAGCAAGGACCTGGGGGCTACTGGCATCTAGTGGGTAGAGTCCAAGAATTTTGCAAAAACAGTCTACATTGCACAAGGCAATTTCCAACAACAAAGAATTAATCAGCCCAAAATGTCAACAGTGTGTGCTATTGAGAAACTGAAATGCTACCTGTCACTACCAGAACCAGTAAGTGGAGACAAGGATTGAATCTTTATGGCCACTCTGTTCAGATGGCTGGTGATCTGAGAAGACAGTGGATTATGTACCCTAAAAAACTGTCTTTCATTTACCTTGAGTCAGCCTTTATATAAGGAGAAGGATAGTGTGGTTAAGGGGTTTGGATTCAGGGAAAAGTAGGTAAGGGTTTTGGAATGCAGGGGAAAAGGTTAGTCAGATGAAAGTTGCAGTCCAGCAATTTTCCTAGCATTCCAGTGATTCTTTATCTATTTACAATCCGGATGTTTTCTCCCTGGAGTACATTGGCTTAGATACCATCTTGATGGCACTTGAAGCGCTTGGTCAGAAAGGTTGAGTTGTTTGTGGTCCTCCTGGAGTCACAGTAGGTCTTCCTATAATTTCCAGTTCCTGGAACAACAGCTTTCTGTGTGCATTAGTCACCAAGCCTATTAACTATATAACTAAAACTAAAGTTTTTAACTCTTGAGTTCCTCCAACCAAACCCCGACCTACAGAATTCTACACTTATGTGGTATGGTTTTAGGCATAAACATCTTAATGGTTATCATTCTTTCCTGCAGCAAAAAAGAAAAAAATGTGTGTATGTTTTAATGTACATATCTTGGGATGATAATATTCTCAAAGTTAAGTCAATTCATCTCATCAAAATATAAATATAATTTTAATTATAAAAAGTAATATTTTATTGAAATATATTTCTTAGTGAGATTGGGCTTTATATCATTTAGCTTTAAGTTTGCATGGATGAATATTTTCTACTGCTAGAATTTGACAGAATTCAACATCAATTTTTTGTTTCATTTTTAGAGATACAAAGACCAAAATATTTTGTTCATTTAAATTGAGACTAAAAGGAGTGTTAATATAGTAGTGTGGTTTGTGTTTATTACTTCTGAGTTATATACTAAAAATCATTTACTGACCATGATCTATCAGAATATTCCTAATGGCGTTAATTAGGTTCTCTAATTTAATTTGGCCTAGAAGCACAGCATTAGAATTCCAACTTTGAAAATAATTCCTACCTAGTTATTAATTTTCTTACTAAGTGTTTAGCACACATGCAGTTATATTCTAGAATAATGTACCATATTAATATTCAGGTAAAGGCCAAAAGGGTAAATCAGCGTCTGATTTAAGTGATTGTTTCTTAGTTGTTGGATGGGTGGATGAATTAATGATGGAAAGAATGACACTTCAGAATTAAATGTTATTATAATAATCCAAGCTAGAAATGAGAGGGAATAGCAAGGAGGCTGATGAGAAACAGTACGTTCTGGGTATATTCTGAAGACAGACATAATAGTTTGTTCAGAGTTTAGATATGAAAGAAGGGCAAGCATCAGCTGTCACTGCATGTTTTTTTGTCCTAAACTACTGGAAGAGTGACTATTTACTGAGATGGGGAAACCAAAAGGAAAAGAATGAGGAAGATACATTCCTAGTTCCCCTTGTCTATTTTCTGCATTTGTGTTTCTAAGCTTAATTTAGCAGTTTGAAAGACCTGCACAGTCATTTTCCCAGAAAATGATGGAAGTTTTCTTGTAACTTCCAGTGGCAAAAATTCAAACACTTGCCAATGTTAATTGTAACTCTATTAAATAGTGTTAGTTATTTGACTCGTGTTTATTAGATATACCTGAAGGACAGGTTTTATTGTTAAAAACTGTTCAGTGTTTTAATAGACTTTTAAATACATTTCATTGTATTTTTTAAAAGATTTTATTTATTTATTTTAGAGAGATGGGGAAGGGAGGGAGAAAGAGAGGGAGTGAAACATCAGTGTGTGGTTGCCTCTAGCACACCCCATACTGGGGATATGGCCTGCAGCCCAGGTGTGCGCCCTGACTGGGAATCAAACTGGTGATACTTTGGTTTGCAGGCCTACGCTCAGTCCACTGACCTACACCAGCCAGGGCCCACTTTATTGTATTTTAAATCAATAAGTGTATACACAGGGTTTTTTTTTTAAGCACAAGTGTAATAAACAGTTGACTGAATCGGACATGAAAATAGATTTCTCAAATTCATATACACCAAAACCATGATTTTCCTTGTGATAATAGTTTTCTGAATTGGTCAGAATAATGCAAATTAACTCAAATGTAACCACAACATTATAATCCATGATTTATGTTAATTCAGGTTAACATGCAGCGTTACATAGAGTTTTCCAACTTGGCCAGGTTAATCCAAAAAGACCCATTTTTCTCTTAGTAAATTTTTTAAACTCCTGAGGTTTTTTCCAGTTTGTTTCAGCCGACAAAATAGTATATGCAAAGACAAAAAAAATTAACACCATTTCAGTCAGTTAGAATCTTTTGAAAAGTTAACCCAAAATATGTACACCTGTGTATATTAACATTATTAACTATTTTATAGGTCAGCATACATACTGATAGTGCCTCTTACTCAATTCCACCCACATATAAGATTCTGATGGTATGGGTTCTTAGAGTCCAGTGGCAGAGATAGATATGTACATACCAACCTTATTAATGTTTATGATAAATATTGAGATACAAGCAAGTATTAGAGGAGCATAAACAAGGAAGAAATTTCTGTTGAACGACATTATCTTTGTGCTAATAGTACTCCTCATATGAGAATAGTATGGGTGCACTAGAATAATTCCATTTCTTTCTTTTTTAACAGCCTGTTTGCTGCTTAAGCCTCACATTCCTATGTCTCCTACCTCTACAAATCTAATGTATTGTGCAAATGATGTTTCTGCCTCCTCTGTTGGATAATGGCAGCTGCAGCATACTGCTCTTCTCTTGATGAACCTCAGCTGCGCCTTTCTGAGAAGAAAAAGCATCCTTCTGGGTAATTAAAGCTTAGACTTCTTTTTGAGTAATACATCTTTACCAGGATCCTTTCATGGAAACCACACATGTATGTGAAAATTGGCCACTGTCTTCAGCTTAATGGCTGTGCCAAGTATAAAGATTAGCCACATCTGAGGAAGATTGTTATGTTTTGTACTTGATATATGTTGATGTGTATATAATATATAAAATACAGGGTCTGGCAAAAGTAAGGCTTGCTTTAGTGTGGTTGGGAGGATAATAATGGATACAGTAATTTATAGCTTTAATTTGAACATTTCACCTAAATCTCAGATGGTGTGCTTAAGTGAGATATTGTTGTATTATAGAATTACATGCTTAATTATTTTGTAATAAAATATTTTGTAATAAAAATGGGGCGTTATTTGTTCTAGACCCTGTATATACTATAAGATAACATACAATAATGTGTATTTGATGTTCAAAATTATATGGCTGATATGTTGAATTGTTTCGGTTTTTCCATATAAAAGGGTTTATAAACCCTAGAAGTAAATAAATAAGAATTCCCATTTGGGGGAACTGAAGATTCTGGTAATCACTCCCAACATGTGGGCTATGTGTATATGTAGAAGGGGGTCCCCCACATCCACAAGCATGTTCTCTGATACCAGCTGTGTGTCCTACAATTTAACTCAATTCTGACACTAACCAAAGATAGCAACAGATTCCACAGGTGAAGGGCTCAGTTCCACAACACAGCTTTTCACTTCAGATGCCAATCACAAGCCTTAGTTACTTGTGCTTCTGGCCAACCAACTACAAATCAGGTTCCCATGACTGAGTCCTTGGGCAGGTTAAGGAGTCAGTCCTACAAGTCTGTCCCCACCGCCACCTTCAAAAGCCAGTCAAAGCCCAGGTTATCATCTATGTGTCTGTCATATATTGATTAATTCGCTAGAGCAGCTCACACAACTCAGAGAAATGTTTCACTCAATGATCACTTAGATTACAGTATTATTATAAAGGATATACCTCAGGAATAGCCAGATAGAAGAGATGCATAGGGCACCGTATGAGAAAAGGGCTTGGAACTTTCTCGCTCTCGCTGAGTGTGCCACCAGCCCAGAAGCCTCTGAGCTCCATTCATTTGGATTGTTAATGGAGGCTTCTTTACACAGGCACAGTGATTATTGTCCATTGGTGATTGACTCCACCTCTGTCTCTTCTCCCTTTCCCTTTCCCTTCATCAGGGTTCATTGCCCCGGCAACCGGCCCATCCTTACGTGCTTTGCAAAAGTCACATTGTTAACACAAACTCAGATGTGGTGGAAAGGGGCTTATTATAAATGATAAGACATCCATTTCACCTTCATCGTCCTGAAGCCATTTCAGGATCTGAGGACGAGACCAAATACAACAAATGATGCTGTCATTGCTTGGGGAATTCCAAAAGTTTTGGAAGCTGTGAGCCAGGATGAAGGTCTTCAACCTGTGGATGAAGACCAAATTTTCTTACTATAAAATTACATCATTGGAACTAACTATAGAGATGTCTTATCCAGAGTAACGTAACTAGGCAGTGGGGCAGTAGAACTGTAGGTGTGTGATAGGGATTCCCCATGTTTGAGGTAACAACTGATTCCCTTGTCTGAACAGACAGATCATTTAACACTTCTTTATAATTGTTCTGCGCCACTTTCTGCAGAAAATAAACTGGTGTACATGGCTTTTTCTCTTTTTTTCAGGAAGTAGTAACACTCTAGGTATTTTTTGAGGAGTTAGGAATTAAAAATTTCAATGACATCAAATGGAATAAGAAGTATTATTACTCATTCCTTTATTACAATAAATCTTCCTTGAACATTTGTCTGCTACTTAGAAAATAGAACTTAATTACAGTGTCAGCATAAGAAACCTCCAAACCTGAAGAGAATTTTATTTGAGCCAAACTGATGACAATTGCTGAGAAGCAAAATCTCAACGGATGGAGAAAATGCTCCAGAGATGGCAGGTTAGCATCTTACTGTGTACATTACAATCAAAGGAGGAGCCATAACCAGGGGTCTCCAACCTTTTGACATCTCTGAGCCACACTGGAAGAAGAGTTGTCTTGGGCCATTGTGATTTTGTGATTATGTGACATTATGACACATAATTACAAAAAAAATCTCATAACGTTTTAAGTAAATTCACAATTTTGCGTTGGGCTGAATGTGACCCCGGAGCCTGGAATGGACACCCCTGCGGCATAAGGGATTATACAAAATTCCCTGGTGGTTGACTAGTGGATTACCACAGAGAGAAAGCAAATCAGGGAAATCTCAGATCAGATGAAAAGAAAAATAGACAGGCACATCCTTCTTTTACACTGATGAGTATAGGATAGTTAACATTTACAGCACTTAGAGGTGGTGAGCAGGAGGTCAAGATAACAATGAGGGGCTCTGTGGTCTTTTTCTTGTGGGAGATTGTGCCCTGAGGAGTCTGGCAAAAATGGGATTACTCCGACATTCCAAAGCTGTGTTATCATAGATACAAAAAGACAGTAGCCTCAGTTAAGATAAAGATAGCTGGTCAAGGAAGACCCTAGCCTAGGACATGAGTACCCACCAGTACTCACTATTAGTTACAAAGTTTCCATTTCAGACCAGCCTATGTGGTTCCTTTAGGTCTCTGAGTTTGTAAGGCCACCATGCAGGCCTTCCCTGAGCTTGTCAGGTTTAGTATGCAGCACCTTTCTTGTCCACAATGGGTAAGTAAAATATCATCTAATCAAGATAAACCATTAGACCTTGTTGACAAACTAAAACTAGCAATTTAGTGGATTAAACTGGACTGTCATAATATCTTTTTATAAGTATTATATCTAAAACTAGCAATTTAGTGGATTAAACTGGACTGTCATAATATCTTTTTATAAGTATTATATCATCTAAGAGACAATAGCCTCGAATTGCAGGTATCGGTTTGCAGACTTAGTAGTAAAACAGAACTTGAACTTTTAGAGTTTGTTTAAAAGTTTTAAACTTTATATAAAAGCATGTATAACTTTTTTTTAGATTATGTTTTAGTTGCCAAGTTTTTAAGACATTGGTACTTAATATGGAATTATAGGTAGTAAAAGACAGTTGTAATCTTCAATATCGAGAGAGAAAAAGGAGATTTCAGTGGTAAAGTCTCAAATACCAAAGAGATAACCAATAGTAAGTAGTAAAAACTTTCCTATAAAAATATTTAAAAGATCCTCTATGTTGATTTTGGAATGTATGTTTCTACCAAAATGACTACCAATGAATTACAATTTTTACATTGTTTTCTCTCATAAATTAGAAATAATTGCAAAGGAACTTGAAGGAAAACACTAAAAAAGTTATTTTAAAAACTACTTTCAGATTTCACAGATCTTTTTTAAAGTTAAATTTTAAAGAGAAATATTTTTTCTAAGAAAACATTTTTAACCTATCTCTTCACATTTTATTTCCTACTTACTGCTGGTTTATAGAAATAAAGTTATTTTTGTATATACCTTTTACCTCAGCAACAAGGCTGCAGTTTTGATACTAATAGTTTGTAGATTCTTTTGGGTTCTTTACACATTAAAATTATATAAATTATACTACCATCATTCTTAAAAATTTAAATACCAAAAAAAATTCAAATACCTAAGAGTCGCAAATAACTAAATTGGTTTTAAAAAACAGGAAAGCTGGAGAACTTAAATTAAGTCAAAATATACACAGGTGATCTGCAGATTTAAAACAAAAGTAATCAGGAGTGCAGTTACTAATTCATTTTTTTCAATATCTGATGCAAAGTTGAGTGAATATCATATAATATATACCTTGACCTGTACTTCATACACCATGCACCAAAATCAATTCTAAAAGTATTAAAAATCAAAATATGAGTGGTAAAATAATAAAGCTTTTAAAATGAAGTATAGGAAAACATCTTCAGGACCTTTGATAGACTGTGATTTGGGAAATCCCCAAGACCACCCTCAGGTTCAGAAGAATTAAAATCAGTACCAGGAAAAGGGGCATATGGTGGGGTTTAGGAGAGTCTAAATACAGGGAGCTTCCAGGTGTCCTCTCCCAGCGGAGTTAACATGATCAATTCTTACTTCTCCCAGAAACAATGTATGTTGTCAACCAGGAAGTTCAGGAGCCTTGGTGTCTGTAGTTTTTACAGACAAAGTCAGACATATTCATGGCTCTTTCCACTTTGCCGACCTTATTCTCCAGCTCCTCCAAATGTCCTGATACCACACGGCCCAAGGCCCCCACCATGAATCACATCGTTAACATAGGTTATTTGACATGGCTTAAGGCCCCCAGGTAAACAAATACAGTCTTATGAGGCAGAATATTCCAAGATCTTGCTTGTTACCTCTCAAGAGCAAGGGGTAAAAGGCTATACCTTTCTTTGGAAAAAGTTAATCTTTTACTACACATAGGTAAAGATTTCTTACACAGGAAATACCAAAACTCTTGCCAAAGGAAAAAAATGATAAATTGTTCTGTTAAGAACTTTTATTCATTGAGAGGATGGATGATTAAGCAACAGTCTTTAATACATACATTTGGCAGAAACTAGTATCTAGATTATGTAAAGAACTCACACATATCAAATACAAAGCAAATCCGAAGGGGCGGAGGTGTTACCAGGGAGACCCAAGTTAAGGGGTTTCCCCACCCTCTGTTCTTGTGTTTTGAGAGAAGCATTCAGGTGAGAGACAACTCGTATAATGGGAGTGAGATAGCAAGTTTATTTATGAAATACATTTGAGCACAAAGCTGCAAGTGGACACCCCGCTAATCTGAGTGCCCTGACTCCTGGCATGTTAGGGGTTTTATGCTTGTAGGCAACTTCTAGGTTGCCCCCGATCCTTCCCTTTCCAGACCTTGGGATTAATACAAGTTTCAGAGGCTCTGTTTCTCAGATAGTGGAGATGATAGATACAGAACGTCAGGGGCTCCCCTCCTGTACTTTCGTTTTTCTTGTGAATTTTGGAACACCTGGCAATCGTATTGG